TGGGGCCACATTTCCTCTTCTCCCTCCCAGATGCTAAAGAAGAGTGGGGGTGAATAGCGGCTGTATTGGCAGCGGATTGCTGTTTGCTCCTCCCTTGCAAGTAGTTGTCCCTACTCAGGACTTTACAATTCAGCTAATAAAGTGCAGGAAGTTATTGACTAGGAGTTGGGTTTACAGAGGGGACAAATACTACTTTTGAGCTGTGTACGAATTATGCATAAATGTGGAAGCTGGTTGATAGAATCTTTCTGTGCTTAGGGGTTTTTAAAAGTGCAGTTGCCTTAAGATTGAAAGATACTTGTTAATTTTAGCAAGTGACAGAATTAGGTTTGGGAAGAGAAAACCATCTTTTCATCCTGACAGACCCTAGAATAAATTTGCATTGCGTTATTTGCTAAAGAGAGCAACAGTGAGAAAGCACAATAGGCCTCTTTCATTTGCCTACAGTTTGAAGAGGACGTTCAAAGCTTCTGCAGGCCTTTCCAGATGACTTCTGCCACTGATATAACTTTGCTGATGAGAGTGTATCCTCATCTTGCTGACTTGGAGAAATTTGGGGTAATAGTGGAACACTAAAGACAACAGATGCTATTTAATATTAGTCCTCCTTAGAGTAGACCTGCTGAAATGACTGGCAGAAAATGAGATTAACACGGGGTTCAATGCAGTGGCAGTATCCAGTGCAACACTGCTGTGAATGGAGGTTGCATTGCACTCAGGTAAAAGCTGCGCTTGCTGGAACAGCAAGCTTTTCTGGAAACGCAGCACATTCTCAGGGATGGCAGGCATTGCGCGAGAGGGTGTTCGCAGCAGCACAGCATCGTTTGCATTAAGCGCTTGTGTCACTTTGGATACTGCCCCCCCCCTTTTAAATCTCTCTTCCCCAGGCTCTTTCGGTGGCCCAGATCGCTTGGCTACTGAGCAGTATAGAAAGGAAACGAATGAATCCAGTGTTGACAATTCTGGAAGCTGTCGAAGGCCAAGCTAAGTTCCTTGACAGTGTGACTTGTTGCGCAAGACTGCGGCCGAGGCTCTGTAATCGAAAGCAGAATTTTATGGAGTTGCATCGTATTTGTTCGCGGACAAGTATGTTGGTTAGCCAGCTTTTCAAGAGGCAAAATGCAGGGGAGATAGGAAAATACTTTCCAAGGTGCAGCTGATAAGGTTGCCACTTTGTGTTGTGTGGCTCCGGTTGCCTTAACCTTAAAAAGGACAGCAGACCAAGCAAATTCAGAAGCCTCATTCATTTATCAAAGACATGCGTCTTTCCCGTGAAGAAAAGCAAAAGCAGCTTTCTGCAACCTGTTGTCCTCCAGTCATTGCAGGCTGCAATACCTTGTATTCCTGACCATTTGCCATGCTCATTGGAGCTGATGGGAGTTGAAGTCCAAAGCATCTGGAGGGCTGAGCTAAAGCATCTAGGGAAGAAAGGTGGCATACAATGCCACCTTGAGCATTCTCTTTTTAGCTTAGAAGTAAATCATTCTGTGTTCATCGGGGCTCAACTTCTAGTAAGCATTTAGGATTGCTGGCTAAAGTTGGCAGGGCAGAGTAGTTATCCAAGTAGGAAGAGTTTGTAGGAATTGGACAGTGTTTTGGGTGGCTGAATCAGATCAGCATTTCAGCAAAGCCTGGGCAATCCAGCTGGTGAGGCAAAGAGTTGAGCCCCAATGTTTAAGTCCAGTGTGGGATCAGGCAAAGGCAGGAGAGTCAAGATGCAAACAAATAATAATGGAGTCACATAATGGAGTCAGATAATGGAGTCAGGCTGCACGGAGGACCTATTCCAAGGCAAGGTCCAGAAAACAAAGTGCAGAACGATGGAGCTAAAAGACAGCATCGCTCCAGGCCAAGCTAAAAGCAAAGATGGCTATGGTTTCCTGAGCCCTACTAAGGACTCAGTTGTGATGTACCACAAGCCCCCTGGCCAAAACTTTCCTTGGGAAGAAGGCCTTGATCCCAAGAAGTCCTTCTTTTGGAATCAAGCACATCCTCTCAGAGAATCCCCCCTTGGCCTGCCTCTTGTGGTGATGGTTCTCACAGGGGGTGGATTTCTGCCCAACCTCAGCCTTAGATTAAAAGTTCCTTCTCCTACAAGGATGGACTTTCAGAGATCTCTTTGTGGGCCCAGGTTCCCCCAAACCTTCTTGGTGTTACCTGGAAGAGTCTTGCTTCAGCAATGGAATGTCAACGTAAGAACAACAGGGTGACCTGCTGGGGTAATGATTCACCCAGTGAGGTTTAGAGTATGCGGGAAGTGAATTCATAGCAGGAGCAAGATGGAAAAAAGCATGCATAAGATTGTAGCCTAACAGGTCATCTGCTTAAATGCTGCACCTGTAAGTGTTTGTACTTGCCATGCACTTAAGAGGAAAAAGGAACCGGATCCAAGGTGAACAGGCGGGCAGCCCAGCTAGAAGCTAACTGAATGTACTACATGGGTTGGGAACTGCGGTTACGTCACCCTTACCATTCTTGCATGTTGGACCTTTGCCTGGGAAGGCAAGAGAAATCTGGGGATTTAATTTTAAATTTAATTTTAATTTAATAAAATATTTATACCCCGCCCTATACACAAGGGATAATGAAGACTCTTTCCTGTGACTTAGGTGCTTCCAAACAGGGCGTCTGGAGGAAGCAGCAGGGAGCTGTGAATGCAGTCCTTACACGAAATCCATCCTTTGTCTGCCATCACCTGCCTTTGTTTAACTTGCGTCTCTCCCCACCCCCGCCCCTCCCTGGCTGCTAAAATACGCAGTCAGAGAGTGCCACAAAGACGTTCCTTCGTGGCACTTCCCCTCGCTTTGCTGTGAGGGTGTTGTTGATGCGTGCTTGGCTTTCTTCCCATCGCCACACTTCCACTGGCTCCTCTCCAAGCCATTGTTTTTGCCCAGTGGCGTTAACAGAGAAGCTCTTAGTTCAGGTGCAGCAGCGAAGTAATTGTAAATGCAATCCTGTGCGCCTTTAGACAGCGAAAAGGCCTACAATTCCCAGCATGCCCCAGTGAGCCATGGCTGGCTGATGCATGCTGGGAATTATGAGCCTTTTCTCCATCTAAGCATGCACTGGATTGTGCCTTGAGAAAGGGAAGAAAAAGAACGTGCCAGAGTTGGTCTTTTCTTATAACCAGGGCTTTTTTTCTCATAGAACGCACCGGAATGGCATTCCGGCAGCTTTTTTTCCAATGGATTTTACTAAGTGATTTTGAATCGTAGCAGATTAGCAGCAAACATCATTAACATAGTCCCTGCAGGCTGCTTTTGTGTCTGCTGTCTGCTATCTGATTGTAAGATTCCAGGCTGCTCTCTGCTTGGGACGCTGCTCCGCTGCTTGGCTTGGGATTGATGTGTGTGGTCGCGCGCTTACTGCCAGCGATGTGAGTTCTGGCACCCTTTTTTTTTTTTTTTTTTTTTACAAAAAAAGCACTGCTTATAACCCATCAAGTAGGTCTGTCACTACAAAAATCTGGCTGTTTTTAATTTGTTAGGAATTTGGAATTGTGTCCATCCTGCTGCAGAAAGAACTGGTTTAATTTGCCTTGGTTCTTGGCAGAAGCTAATTGTATTCCACTCCTTAGTGCAATTTATATATGCATTTCTCTAGGTCTCTGTGCATGCAGGATTCATCCCCACAGGAACTGGAGGATGGTGCCTAAGCAGTAACTGATCTAGAGCTTAATAAGGATGGGGAAATGGTAACTGCAGGCAGAAAAGTGCACGATCCCTCACTAAAGCCCACTTCTCTTTATTCTGGAAGGGAAACTTGTACTGATCCCTTAAGCGCAAGGACGTGCGGGGTATTCCCCCCAAAAGAGGATCAAATAGACTTTAGGCACGGAGCTTTCTAGCCATCCATGCAAAAAGACTTCCCTGTGCGAAATGATTTTGGGTTGCCGTAGGTGCCGTATGTAAACATGGGCCTCCTTTGCATAATTTCTGTAGCCCTCCGTGTCTTATTTCGGTGATGGATCATTGCAAATATTCAAGCCCTGCTCAGCTTTTGCTGTGGTTTATTGTGATGCCCAAACTTGGCACAGGGAGTATGGCGTCACAGTTGTGCAAAGCAACCTGTTGGGTGGAGGTCGCAATCTTTAATGGCTGTTAATGACTGCTAACCTATTTATCTGTTTATCATGCTGGATGTTGGGGTGATGATGCTCAGGAATGGAGCTGGTTTTTCCAATCTGGAGTGGGAGATTTGGTTCTGGATCGCAGATTCAGACTTTCCTTGGCTAACTTGAATAAAGTAGTGATTCAGCAGTCAAGAGAAACGTTTGCAAGTTTCAGAGTTTGGCTATTCTTGCATACCACCTGGTTGCTTCTGATGATTTAATTCACAGGTCCTCAAACTTTCTCAGCGGGGCCAGTTGAAAGGTGACATCAGCAGGCGTGGGCCTGGCCACCCCTGGGCTGGCATAATTAAAAATAGATGTGAAAAGTTATATTTTTGTTACCTTCAATCCATTCTTTGTCTTCGTCTTTCTTTCTCTTCCACCCGCCTCTCTTCTGTTTCCTGCTCCGTATTCCTGTTCTGTGTATGCGTGCAATGGAGGTGGGGGGGAGCCGGCACACGTGCAGTTGAGCTGTTACAGTTTGGGCATGTGCCAGCTCTCTCTCTGCTCAGTTTTAAAGGATGCCTGCGCTGGCTCAGAGCTTTTGGACTCGCTTGGAGATCGTTTTTTCCAAGCGAGTCCAATACCTCTGAGGCAGCCTGGATAAATGGGCATGGCGGACCTGATCCAGTCCATGGGCCGTAGTTTGAGGACCCATGATTTAATTAGTTTGGGAATCAGCCGTGAAGGATTGTTCCCTGGCCCTGATCAAGCCTGCTAGGACAAAACAGAAACACTGAAGTCCAGGGGCGTGAGGCAAACCTCTAAAAATAGCCAAGCAACTGAGTTCTCAGTAACAAAGCTGTACAGACCGTCGTTCTGATGCTTTACTCCCAGTAATCTCTCAGTCAGCCTTCTTGCCCTACAAGGCCTTTGGCTCTGCTCCTTTCCAGGATGAGGCCCCACTGCCTGCTGCAGCATTTGCTGGGTGGTACCTCTTCGGCTGACAGAACTGTTTCTCTCCGATAGTCCTCAGAGATGTCCTGCCCACCCCGTTTAAGGATTGTTCAGCTTTGCCACTGCTGATGTGTTTTTCTCCTTGCCACAGCCAGTCACTACTCATTTCACAAATTCTGGATGGTTTTATGCACCCTGTGGATGAATCACCTGATTGCGGTAGGTTAATGTACGTGCTGTGCTCAACCCTCTCACCAGCCCAGAGTTGGGAGAATCCATAGAAAACTATGTCTGTTTAACATGTTGAAATGGAATGCTTGTCCTTTGCAGGGATGTCTCGGACACAATATTTTTAAAATTGTCTTCCTCATTTGCATTTAATTTCCTCTTCAGTACGTGCATGTCGGTATCCTTCCTTACTCAAAGGTCAGATAAAGGCTGCATGTCTTTGCATTGCTATATACATGTGGCTCTTCAGCAAACCGTGTGCATATATGAGATCCACCTTTCTTGCACTTTTTTGACGCTTTGCTCTGGTGGCAGGGCACCAAGTCACACGAGGTGGCAGGCAGCCTATTCAAGTTGCCTGTCCTATAATCTCCTTTCCATTCACTGTGCTGGCTGGGAGTGGTGGCAGCTGCAAAACATGGGAAAAGCGACTTTTCTCCTTAAAGAGGGACTGAATTCTGTCAAGTCCTAATACTGATTTGTGTTTCCTCCTCAAGTATGGGAGGAAAGAAAAAGCCAGAGAAAAGGAAAAGGGGAGCGGCCTCTCCCTCCTTCTCTTTCTCTCTCCCTCCACCCCCTTTCTCATTGCAATGCTAAACCAAATACTTCTTTTCCTCTCTGCCTAGCCCAGGGGTCGGCAACCTTTAACACTCAAAGAGCCATTTGGACCCGTTTCCCACACAAAAGAAAACACCGGGAGCCGCAAACCCCTTTTGACATCTAAAATGAAGATAACACTGCATATATCGTTTTTTACCTTTATGCTATGTATAAAAAACTATAGAGTGTTGCATTTATGAAATCAATGAACTGCTACAGAGAAAATACATTTTTATTTCTGCTTGCAACAAAAAGCATTTTGAACTCCGAAAAAAAAGACGCTGGGTTGAAAGTTACTTTCAAATAAAATACTCAGTGTCTATCTGAGTCCTCCTTGTATTTATGAAAAAAAAGCCAAACTTAAATTATCCACCAGCAGCAAACCAAACATGCCACCTGCAGCAAACCAAACATGCCATCTGCTTCTGTGTGCCCTCATCCTTTTATCACGTGGTGAAATACTGAACAAACATCCCTCTCCCAATGTAATAATGTTGCTGGAATTTTTATAAGAATCTTCTTAAAACAAAGAAGTAGATCTATATCTTCATTATGATTTAGCTGCAGCTCTTGTTCAGTCACTAAAAACTGTTATTTTTAATCTTCCATTATAAATTAGTAGGATTCCTTTCATATATTTTGAATAGGCGAACAGCTTCCTGCAGAGTCAAAGTCGGTGCTAAAGGGCTGCATGCATTAAACAGCAAACCCCATAAGTTCATCAGCAGTAAAAGCAAATGAATCTACCCACGTACCACTAAACGTTCGGTTTTCTTCAGAAACTTTCCTTTTCTTTGGATTTTTCCATGGTTGGAGGGGGGGAAAGCTCAGTAAAATCAGCACTGGTCCGCAGATATAGGTGTGTTTAGTGACTGATTAGCAGATAAACAGTCAAGTGCTGTGAATTGTGACAGGTCCCAAGTGCACATTCAGATGAAGGAGATTACATTGGGACAAAGAGAATCCTTTCAGCAGCATACTGTTTGTTTGTTTGTTTGTTTCGTGTAACATGAGAGCCTGCCTGAAGCTTGTTTAGCAGAGGAATGTAGCGATTTACTTAGCTAGCTGATTGACTTAACTAGCTAGCGCTGCCTTCCTGAGTGGAGCTTTGAGATCTGCGGCTGTGCCGGCGCGTGTTTTGAGCGACGGAGCTGCAGCAGAGGGGTGCAAGAGCCACATGGGGCTCTGGAGCCGTGGGTTGCCGACCCCTGGCCTAAAGCAATGTTTCCGGCTTTCAGTCTCCCCCCCCCCCACCCGCCGCCCCATCCCTACCCTTTGGTATTTCAGCAGGCGAAGGTTGCCTATGCCTGCAATCTGTTCTTAATTTAATGCACAGTGGCCAAATAATAGCTTGCAATCTCAGACCTTGAAAGTCTGGGCTAGGCTGCGGCTGGCAGATGATCACCACTTGTGCCGAGGATCAAAAGTGCTGCTGAGTCAGCTTGCACAGTCGCTGTTTACGGAGCTGAAAGGAGCCTGGAAGCCAGGTCCAGAAATGTATTTCATAGCTCCCAGCAAAATGACTGTCGGCTTGGGACAGAAAGGCCGGTCTGGGAGCTTTGGTCTTCACTGACAAGCTGCAAAGCTCTGCCTGTGTGCTTGCGTTTACAAGGGGGCTCGAACTGGCGACCGGGTGGGCGCTTTTAACTTTTCCTCACTCCACCCAGCTAAAATTCTGGACTGGGGTCTCCAGTGCGGTTCTCTGGATATTAGTCTTCTGGCCCACCATTCTCCCCACGGCACGTGATTTCTCTTTTATTTCATGAGAATTTAACAATAATTTTTAACTGGGAAGCTAGCATGCTGTGAAATGAAGTTCAGCCCTCCAGAACCATCTTTAGTTGGGATCCAAAGAGCGGCTTTGCATACTGGAGCTCAGATCCCATTTCTGCCTTGTGCTTAGACTCTTGGGCCAGAGGTTTTCGTTTAGGCTCCCCAGTTTGTCTTCTGGGAAATGACTGGTTTGCAACCAGCCACACCAGCTATGGTAGCCATTTTATGAATGCTGACGTCTCCCTCCTGGCAACCATTATGTGCAAGTGCCAGCCTACCTCATAGGGCTGTTGTTATGGGGATAAGATTGAGAGCTGGTGGAGGGGGGACTATAAGCTGCTTTGACTTCTTAAAAAAAGAAAAGGCAGAATGTAAATCAAATAAATAAATAAATGTTGCGGGGAGAAAGGAGAGGGATGCACGGGTAGGAAATGGTTAATTGCACCCCGAATCACTGAAGGTGAAGAAGCGGTCTTCATAAATAGAAATATTGGAACAACTCATTGTAAAGATTTTAAATTGGGTGTTAGTATTCCTCCAAATGTCAGTCCTGGACGACTTCTTTCTGCATTGATTTGAGTCCATGAATTATTCACTGCTGGCCTCCTGGAAAAAGTGAATTCCTGGAGTCTCCCCGAGGTAACGGTAGCGATGGGCGTGCGGAGAGGTGCCATGAGCTGCGAAGGCATGAATCCGGGCTGGATGGAAGGGCGGGATGTGAGTCCAGGAAGAGCTGAAAAGAGGCCTCTGTTGTCCTCCAGAGGTTTTGCAGGCTGAGTACACACCGACGGGGAGTGGAGCTCATGGGGCCTCTGTGCCAGGCTCAGGCAGCCCCTCGAGCAAATCCGTGCGCCACTACCTGGGGCGCCAGTCGTCTCGCAGTGCTTAGGAAACAACAGAGGGCTCGGTGCTCTGCATCACCACGTGTATAATATTTTGAATCGGACTCTTCGGAAGGTGCTTTCTTCCGAACACCTCGTTTTGTGGGCGTGCGATTTATTAGGGGATAGTTCTCACCTTACCCTGTAGTACTTGGAAAAACTGGTATTCAGATATAGTGCTTGTGAACATGGAGGCTCCATTTATCTAATACCCCCCTGATCTTCCCTCTTTGGTGAATTGACAACAAACAGCAACATGTGCAAGAAAAAGGAGTTACATTTTTGTCTGTCCTCAGTCTCCTGTCCTGCCTTTCAAATTCACTGGGCGGCTTCAGGTTTGAGCAGATTACTCCTTGACCCAAGACATGGGTAGAGAGTCATCGCAACACCAGCACATCAGTAAAACCTCTCTAGTGCTTTCCCAACCTCCCTTTCTCTATGTGAATCACGCCTCTCCTTCCACCCAGTCTCCCATAGGCTCCAATCCTGCGCATGTTTACCTGTGAGTAGGCTTCGTTCCATACTGTGGGACTTGAGTGAGGTAGACAATACCTGCAAAGCAGGGTCTGTGAGCGCTGAGCACAAGTTCATCGGGTCTCCCTAGTTTGCCACCAGCCTCTGGCTCCATCACAAGACACATCCTTGCCTTCTTACCTGAGAATCTCTCACTCTCTTGACCATAACTATATAATGCTCAATCCGCTGGGCTGGAGCTGGGAGGGAGGCGCTTCGCAACCATCCAAACATGCCGTGTGAGAATGCGCAGGTGGGACAACTCCTCGAGGACTTGTTTGACTTTCTGCAAAGGTAAAAAGCTGCGCCACGAGGCATCGGAAATAGCACAATCCACATTCAAAACTCTGCTCATATTTGATCAGTCAACAACGTACAGCATGGCTGGTTTGCTTTTTTCTAATTTCAAAAAATGCAGTTACTTAATTTTCATCCCATCCTTCTTCTAAGAAATGTGGGCTTTGCCCCTCTCTGATCCTCACAGCGTTGCAATCAAGGTAGGTTAGGCTAAGAGATGGTGACTGGATGAAGGCACCAGGGACCTTCCTAGTGAAGCAGGGATTTCAGCCACCGTTGTTCTGCTCCTGGCATTCCATCTGCTATCCAGCGACTTCCTCTGCCCGTCTCAACTTAAAATAAACTGTCCTGTGCCACCAGATGTACTCTCTGCACGCACTCCTTCTCACGTTATCACATATTCCTTATTCGTGTGTCCGCCATCCTGGAAATTGGGAGCTACAGAATTCTACCGCCCAAATTGATCGTCTTACTACCTGGGCCCAGAACACAAACATAGTTTAAAATTCTCTCTCTCTGCGCGCACACAAACACACACACATAAGGACAGACATTTTGTTACAGGGATCTAGGGCAGATCCTGGCTTAGTATTAAGATCTGACTGTCCCAAACCCTCCAACTGAAGTACCACTTTACCCACAACCATATGCCTGGGAAAGTCCACCTATTAATTTAATTTATTTAATTTGGGAAGCTTCTATGCTGCCCCATTCGCCGAAGCCTCGGGGAGGCTCACAAATTTTAGATTTGCCTCTTAGGCAGATGCTCCCTCATTGATGTTTTCCCCACCTGTTTAAATTCGTATATTTAGTACTCTTGAGCATTGAGTCCCAGGAATCTCCAGAGCCTTTCAAGTGGGAGGCCAGAAGTCACCCCATGATTTTCACGGGTGAGCAGGGATTTACAGCTGGGCTGTCCTCTTTAAG